AACATGACTGGTGTGACGCTCTTAATAGAAGCATTACGTTAGTTTGGAGTTATCAGGTCGAACCTTCATACACAGGTGTGAAGAAGAGCTTTCCCACAAACGTCCCCTACAGCGTAGATCCCTGGTGCTGTTGGTGTTTCTGAAAACGTCATCCACAGGCGATATGGGGCCTCTTCATCTGTCCCAACCCTGCAGGACAGGGGAAATACAGACTCGTTCTATAATTATCAGAAATTATGATCATGTTTTTTTAGCCAATCCATCACGATTTTAAGGCTTTATTCCGTTCATTTAGGGGGACATGGAGGGAATACAGGAGGGTGTATTGCAAGCTTGAAACGACGTACTTTTTTAAAATAGCCATTGTTGGGTACGCGCCGGCCGCTAACGGGGTCCTTGTTCATGTTCAATAGCAAAGGAGAGAGTGTCTTATTGTTGTGGGCCTCCGTGCGCGGTGTGTCTATTAAACATCTCGCTTATTTTCCCCACTCATGCTTTACATTGTTGATTGTAATTCGCTCGGCACATGTCGGAGTATGCCAGGTTGCACTGTAAACACGCTTATTAAGCACGGGGGACTAGTTACCCAGGTGCGAGGTCGATGTTGGCAGTCCGTTGGTGTTGGGCTGGTCTGACGAGAGGTGGCCCACAGAGGCAGTCCACTTCACATAGGGAATGGAGAGAGTGGGGATGCTGATCTTCCCTCGTCGGTTCTTCTTCTCTGGGTCGGTTTGGTGGATCGCGATGGCGTCACGTGGTCGCGGAGTCCGGCTGGGCTCTGTTGGTTACGGGTACGAGGACTCACGGTGTGAGGCAGTTTGTGTCCAGCGAGAAGTCGGGTGGGAGGTACCAGAGTTTTGCAGGTTCTCTTGGATGCAGTTTGCGCGTTGATGGGAAGGGCGTGGTCGAGGGAGGGCCTCGAAGAACCTACAGGAGCGGAAAGTTGGATATGTGGTGTTTGGGTTACGTTAAGTAGACCCTGCATGAACTATGGAAGATAACAGGTTTAGGCTGTTCAGTATGTTAGTGTGTGGATTTTATGTGGTTTCGGTGTACCTCCGGTCTGTCGGAATAACGAGGGGGATGTTTTTGGACCCCAGGGGGTGGGAAAGGAATGGCCTGCCATCTCGCAACTTGCAATAGGAGAGCTGCACCACAATGACAGCTGCGGGCTGTCCGAGGGACACACGCAGACGTTTTGAGTTATAGGCACACATTTGACATATTGTGAGTAAAAACCAAAGAGGGGGATAATAAACAAAGAGCGTCACTGTTGGCGCAGAGTGTTCAAATGATGGAAAAAGCCATCATGGGTAATGCCCAGGACTCCCCCGCTGAGAAATGATCAGGTAAACCACATGGTTCAAAGTACAATCCAGCAAAGATGATTTCAATGATTACTTTTTCCCTAGTTAAAAAATTCGTAAGGTACAGCATGTCTTACCTGGGAACTTCATCATCAGTCATCACGAGGTAAGGCTGCCTCCGCGGGCGATGGATATGGATGAATTTTTCTGTGGTGGTGTGTGGTGGTGGTTGCGCTTGTTGTTTTTTGAGTTTGACGTGAGGAACTGTTAAGAGAATGCAGATGAGATAAGGGAGCCAACGTGTTGATGAAAGGGATAAGCTAAAAAGTAAAGGGAGTAATGTGCAAGAGAGGGTGGGGGGGGCGTATGGAAGCATGGATCACGACCAGAGGGGATGACAGAGAGAGAGAGAGATATCCCCAGTTTATCACAGAGATCAAGGTTAAAGCATCGAGTGATCTGAATGATGGAGCGAGAGCATCATTAGAGAAAGGGAGAGGCATGCGGACAGAGCGATAAATAGAAATAGACAGAGAGATATGAGAACGACGAGAAATAAGAGTGGAGGTTCATTGTTAAGGATCGTTGGAGAGGAGCATGTGACCTCACTCGGGAACATGACACTATCTCTTCATGTGGCCCTTCGCAAGCGGATGCACCTGTGACAGATAGTCTCTTACCAATGCTTAAACAAAAGCCCCCTTTAGCAGCTTCCTGTCACTACAAAAACAATATTCAGCCAAAACATATCTGTCGTCAGGAGAGGATTATTTTTAAGTGGAGGTAAAATGCGGTTCATGTCATTGTGCAAAACTGCATAGCTGTTACTTTTCTACAACAGTTCAAGGTTTTGTTTTTGGCAGGCATGTTTGTCATAGAAAAATAAAAATGAATTATAGTTAAAGTTTCCTTTAGTAAACCTATACATGGGTAGATTTAGAGTAACATGAAAGTGTGAGATACTCAATGTCAAAAATGTACATTGCTCAAGGAGCGCGAATTCGACACACTGTGTGCACACATTTGCTGTATTTTACAATTAATCTTTTATCAGATCCAGATTCTGTAATACAACCATGTGTTGACCATAGCATGATCCTATGTACAGTACGTGTGTAAATATTCTGGTATATTGTTGTATTTTAAATCAGAGCTTGTTTTGCTTGCTACCATGAACATATTTTGTATTTTTCCATCTGTCATGAACGTCAGTTTGCAGTAGTAGGAGGGGAGGTTCACGTGGGGTCTTCTAAGTATTGATTGTCAGTATTGACCAAGCAGCATGGAGCATCTTCGTTCTTTGCTCAGGTTTGGTTTAACCTGAATTCTGGACATGAACAAATGTTACTCAAAACCTTACAAAATCTGCTCTGTGGATGATATGTTTGTAACCCCCTCTAACACTAAAGAAAAACCCTCCTATCCTCCAACTACATACTGCCCACATGGCTGTGGTGTGAACGACTGGTTTCAAACATGATTGTCAGAATATGCCACGATGCATTAGGTGAGAATGTTTGGCTAAATGCATCATCTTCACATGTTAGGGACTGGTTATTGATACACCTTTAACAACCCTAACTTCACATGCAACACGTATGGAAGACCCCCTAATACTGGTTGAAAAGAAGGATTTGAAGCTCGCAATTCCGGCTAACATGTAAGCAAACTTTCTGAACAAGTGTATTGTAATGCCCTGTGATTCCATTGTCCACATTTCTGCACAATTGCAAACAGGGTCGTGATTTTCCTCCTTAGAGATGCATTTAAATCGCATACATTCCTCTATATTAATTAACGGGGCACTTTGATAATGCAGAACACATTGATTTTAAAGAAAGAAATCCAGCGAGTGGTCATGATTGACACCACGGGGCGACTGTGGCTGCATGGAGGTGCGGTCCTCTTTAAATCGAGACGTTGTGGGTTTCGATCCCAGTCAACATACAACATGATGTATCCTGATGGCATGGCCCACGGTGTGTGAATGTGTTTGAAAGTTAGCTCACTTGAACAAATGGCACTGCTCTGTATGAATGGGCGAATGATGACTTGTTTAATGTGAAGCGCTTTGAGGCGTCGTAAAGACTGGATAAAGCGCTATATAAATACAGTCCATTACTGTTAAAAAACCCACTGGTAATGGATTCCTTTTCGATCTACCCTGTTTCCAACTTAACCTCATGCCTCGAAGGATGTCGAAAAGTAGTTACACTGATATTCTTTTTTGATTTGCAAAAACAACAACCTTCATAGTCACCTTATGGCCCTCGCCAGCCGCAACCCTTCAGAGGGCTCAAACTCTGAGGCACTGCAAGCATAAACCCTCCCCTTCTTGTGTTGGAAACTTTGCCACAATCACGCTGATTGAAGTTACTTTATCCCCGGCCTCACTATGAAACCAATTCGCTTTCCACTATTCTGTAATTCACAAGAGGCCGTGCCAAATTGCTTATTAATCAGGCCACTTTGACATGACCGCAATCGCTTTGTATGCACGCATACACATGCACCTACAGGCACGCACATTATGAGTACACACAGGAGCAGGCATATACACACACACACACACACACACACACACACACACACACACACACTGAGCCAAACACACATATACACACTTCTATCTACACTTCTAATCTCCTAGTAATGAGGTCAGTGCTCTCATTAGAGCTGAGAGAAAAGAGGGAGGATATGAAAGAGAGAAGAAAGAGGGATGAGAGGAGGGGAGGGCAACAAAGAAAATCCCATGTCATGTTTTCCCAGTGGAGGTCAGGGTGTGTGTGTGTGTGTGTGTGTGTGTGTGTGTGTGTGTGTGTGTGTGTGTGTAACTGATCATTTCATCTCTATCATCTGCTAGACACATTTATCCATGTACTACAATTCTATATGAGCTGTATCCTTATATGGAAGTTGAAATGTTGCATGAAAGTACATTTTAATTAAGAGCATGTACTTGAAAGACTAAAGCATGCTCATATATTTATGTGTATTAATGTTCTGGGATTATTCTGTCTGTTTTGTTGTGAGCTGCCTCACCGGGTCTAGTACAGGTGTGATGAGCAGGTGTTTTCCCCAGAGGAACTGCCGGTCCACCGTCCAGGTGTTACTGTCAGAGAAGAACCTTGGGAATGACAAAATGTTGTATTAAATAATAAGATATCAATTTTGAATTTAGACCACATTCATTGAGTAAAATGACCACGTTCCTCAGTTAGTTATTAATATAATATGCGTTTCTTGCGGCTGTTTTATGACAACCAAACGTTCTGATAGCACTGTTTCCTGCTTCTTTTTTTAATTCAATGTTTAGAATTCAGCTAAATTAAAACAAACAAACTTTGGGGCCACTTAAAATGTACACTAACGGCCCGTCCACTAACGGCCCGTCCACTAACGGCCCGTCCACACGGCGGCGTGTGTTGAAGCTTCAAAACTTCTGCCCATTCACAGTGAATGGGGTGACGTCACGCGTTGCCGAACTGCATTGTGGTTCCGTCGCTTCGCTTGAGCAATGTTCAACTTTTCAAGCTTCGACAGAAGCGTCAGCCAATCGAATCATATGCCAGTACAAGCTCTAGCCAATCAAACCGCGTGCTTGTGTGTCCGGGCCGGGAGATTCATGTGATTGGTTGTTGGTCGAGTTTCAGACACGCCCGCCGGCAAGGCTTCAACGCACGCCGCCGTGTGGACGCTGCGTTAAACTCCCAGCTTATGATTTTAATAATAGAGCGATAAGAGTAGTGATATCACATTGTGACTAATGCTGTCAAAATTATCGCGTTAACGGCGGCAATCATTTTTTGAATTAATTGCGTTAAAATATTTAACGCATTTAACGCATGTGCAGAATGGCCCGCCCCATACATCCCACCAGTGGCAGCGCCAGGGTATGGCTGGGGTAGGCTACAGCCATACCATGAAATGGCTTAGCCCCACCATGAAAAATGATGTTAAAGTAAGAAAAATAAAGTCCGCCAACTCGCCAGCAGTTAGTAAGATTGATTTCAGTAGCCACTTGTCTGGAAATACCGAAGACCAGAAACGGTTTTGAAAACTTTTGTCACGTNTCTAAACCGTCTACAAATGGTACAGAATGCTGCTGCAAGACTGTTAACCAGGTCAAGCAGGATGACACACATTACACCAATTTTTTTTTTTTTACACCAAGAACAGGGAAAACAAACTTAGCAGGAGTGTTTACTGTTCGGTGTAATGACGTACAACGTCCTCAACAACTTCTGTAGTCCTATTCAGCTTAACAACCATCGTTTTTCAGACACGTAAACTCTTCAAAAATCACCAGTGGGGTCACTGCTGATGTATTTAATGTCGTAAAACGAAACGTGATCCGTCTCTTCAATTTGTGTCAACCACAGACGTTATTTCCAGCTATTTTCCAAAATCCTATGGAGAAATTGCATTGCTTTTTGCGAAGGAACCGGAAGTGGTAAAATGCTAACTTACGGCCCGTCCACACAGCGGCGTGCGTTGACGCTTGCCGGCGGGCGTGTCTGACACTCGACCAACAACCAATCACATGAATCTCCCGCCCCTGACACACAAGCAGCGGTTTGATTGGCTAGAGCTTGTACTGGCATATGATTCGATTGGCTGACGCTTCTGCCGAGGCGTCAAAAGTTTAACATTGCTCAACTTTTGCAGCGAGCCACGCCAGCAACGCTCCGCGTCGCTTCCCACGATGCAGTTCGGCGAAAAGTGACGTCACCCCATTCAAAGTGAATGGTGAAGCGTCAACGCACGCCGCTGTGTGGAGGGGCCGTTACTTCCGGGTTTTAGGACGCGTAACTGTGGTACTCTATTTCATTTTAATGTAATAATTATGTTGGTTGTTGTTTGTGGAAGCGCATCATGTATTGAAAAATTAATCTGAACTTTTCAATCCGTTACGATTTTAAACATCATTTAAATGGAAGGTCCCCAAAGCCCCCACCCACCCTATGATCGGTATCGGCCGATACTGATTCCAGTGATCGGCCCCAAAAACCGTGATCGGAGCATCCCTACTGGTCTCTATTTGATTTGTTCCAACCGGTTACCATGTTAGTAGTTAGTTTATGGCTACAGTAGTTGTCCAACTAGTCGTGCAACGATCACAACATAAGCTACTTTTTCTCATGTACATATTGATGAAAATCCCTTTTTGTTTTGCACCATGCCTTTTAAATATAATTTGGGCAATAGACTCAGCCCATACAGTAAGATAGGTGAGTGATAATCACAGCTGAGTGTAACAAATTAAAAAACTTAATAGACCGATCATTTTTGGCTAGCATAACATACCATAAACTATAATGGTACTTGGAGAGCCCAGATCAAGGCCAATGGGACATTTACATGCTCGTTAGATGGTCCCATTTCCAAAGGTGGGAATTGGTTCTTCCATCTTTGGTTTGTTCATGAGCTTTAAATCCAAAAGATAGAACATGCTTTAATCAACATTTCCCAGTTGGCCATTTAGGTTTACGATTAATCCGACCCCACATGAATGCCGCACAACTGCCTTACCTCGCAATGTTAAGGAAAGGGAAACTTGTTTGTGTATTTGCCTGTGATTTGGATCCATTCCAAAATGTAGTGGTTTCTTCCTTGACTCATGCTACACCCTTCCATGAAGTTACACTTAAAAACATAGCCAGTAGTTTTTTTGCGAAACGAAAGATGAACAACAACAACAACCTTGCCGGAGATAAAAAGTGACAATGTGTAATGTAACTGGAATTTGAGACATGTTTATACATATTCAAATGTTTTTTCTGCTAAGAAGTTTATTTGGGTTTATTAGATTTCTTTGCTTCCATTTGCATCCCTGAATATTACAATAGCTTCAAGCCTAAGTAAGTCAAGAAAGGAGGTCTAACTGTAAAGGTTTATACTGTTTAATTCAGCATAAAACTTTGGAAGAATGGAGATTCGTAGGAAGAATGGACTAAGGGCTGCAAGTAAGGTTGGATGAAAACATCTTCTTGAGAGGTTATCAGACCTCTTCACTGTGTGCGTGTGAGAAAGTCAGCAGGGTGGTACAGCCGGCCTCAGTAGCTGTGATGGTTCCCAGCTCCACACTTGGCCCTCTAACAGTTGTTCTTTGACAATAACAGAGGAAGTAATTTCTCCCTCGAGCAAAAACATCTGCAACCTGTTAAGGCCCTTACACACCAAGCCGATTTCGGCCGTCGATAGATGTCGATAGATGTCTGGCCGTCGATGAGCGTACTGTCACCCTACTCAGATTGGTGTGTCCCGCACCGTATTGTCTTTTCAGCCGTGCCAACACCTTCCGGCCCCGAATCAACATGTCGAATCGGGGAGCTGTCGGCAAAATAAATCACTCTGATTGGCTGTTCAGCTTAGCGAATCAGTGCATGAGAAGTGAAACGGAAGTGAAGAAGGCACACACAGACGGTTATTATTTTTCATTTTCATCTCACCTGGACGCAAGAATTTATTTTACATCATGGCAATCTGGAATGAAGAAACCGAAAACTAACTCAGTTGCCACGTAATTTGCTGTCACACTTCCTGCATGGGGTGGACAATAGCTTCTTCAAGTATTTAACGGACAGGACCCTGGACGATGTGGCTATTTTTTAATTTATTGTAGGGCAGGCCTATTATTTATTATTTTTATCTTATTGTATTTTAGTCGATTGTTTACATTGTCCAGTTCTAAATTTGATAAACCACTTTTTACCTCTACTGCAAAATACAAAACTTTATTTTTCGTACCTTCATACTACAGCCATTAGATTACAGAACATTAGAATGAGGATAAAATTAGCTATACTACAATAAAAGTCAGAAGATACAGATGTGCATGATGATACATCTTTTGCCTGTCAGTGTTATGATGTTGTATATTTATATAATCTTGGATTATAATTAATGATGCATGGAATGTGGTAGCAGCAATACTTTAAGGTTGCCAGCCACAATGCTTAAATAGTTTATTTCTGCTTCAGAGAGCTGAAGTTTGTATATATCACGCAGTCTGTCTTCCGGTTGCCTCTTTTGAATGACGAATACACACTACCTCCGCCTGCTGGTAAGGAGAGTTATTGCCACTCACGCATGCGCAGTTCGTACGTGCTACTTGGCCGTCGGCTGAAGTCTTTGCGGTGTGTTCCAGTGCGACTGTTGGCCAAGACGCAGGAGCCTATCAGGTTGACGACCATATTAAAACCATTTGGAGCGACCGTGTTTGAGCAGGAGAAGAAATAGAGTTCGTCGTTCCCAAAAATTGAATGCAGGACATATTGTCCGGCCCGTTATGGTAAAACTAACTTCCGCAACTATAGGTCTCAACTGTCCAAACAGAAAGTACCACTAATAACATGATATAGAGTCCCCCGTTAGACGTTGGTCCGATTTTCTATCGTACACACAACCTTCGATTGCAGATATCGCTCGTTACTACTCTTCCGGGGTGCTATGATATTTCCTGGGACACACCGACCGCCCCCCCCCCCCCCTGACTAACCTGACAGTATCAGATCCGACTCCGACGTACGTCCAACTTCACAAGATTAGTATCTTTTCGCCCTCATCCTCCGGACATCGCATGCACACTCCCTTCGTAGTGGGTTGTCTTGTGCTATCTCCTCTATCATCCGGTAACGTCAGGTGCCCGTCACGGTACCTTCACAAGACATGCTATGCCATTGACTCTACAAGTTACGTCTTTTTAAGTGTGTTTCTCCCTTTCTCCTCCAACACACTTGATGACGCACACCTCATGTGGCTGTGACCAACAACAAATCATGTCTCCTGTATCACAAAACCGGACCGCTCTACGGAATACATACAATTATACGAAGTATCACACAAACGCGCATTTCCGGGTCTGTGTGGTCGAAACTGTTTGTTTCTTGTGCAGGGCTGCCCTTGTGCTGACTTCACAG